TTTCTGAAAATGTAATTATGCTCTTAAGGTAGAACAAAAGATTAAAAATTTAAAACCGAAATATCTTCAGTAAAAGAGAAAATAACAGTAATGCATAGTTATGAAAAAATACATTACTCAACAGATTTTGTTTATAATTGTAGTATACTATAAAACATAATTTTGCTGATAAAAAAATTTGGAAATATATTGAAGATTGCCGTGTTCCTTGACATGTTTGATTCGAATTATTTTAAGAGAATAGTGTTGTTGATCTTAACATAAAGAATACGGTTGTGTCGAGAGCAGCCCGGTGGTTAGCGAGCCGAGGCTACGTGATTCCTGTTCTGTTACCATCCCATTAAAAAAATAAAATAAAATAAAAAATCGCATTTCACGCTTAATAGGAATGAGTAGTCAAATTTCACTGTTCGGTCAGACAAGGACAGTCCAAGATTTGGCCCGAGTGGGGTTGATTAGCTGCCTTCCAAAATGAGTAGTCAAATTTCACTGTTCGGTCAGACAAGGACAGTCCAAGATTTGGCCCGAGTGGGGTTGATTAGCTGCCTTCCAAAATGAGTAGTCAAATTTCACTGTTCGGTCAGACAAGGACAGTCCAAGATTTGGCCGGAGTGGGGTTGATTAGCTGCCTTCCGTCTTATTTATCAGTTCAACTTTCATAGTGGCTTAAGGTGGTAACCTTCGTGTAGCTTTAAGCAAAATCCAATAAAAAACTGTAACTATCAGCAGATTAAAAGTCAGTGCAATCACATTGAACGTATTTATATCTGTTACGCATTATATGCTTTGTTACTTGCCAAAATCGTGAATGTTGTATGTCAGTGATGGATTCGTGAGATGAGGCTATTTTTCTTCAAGCGATGTTTTCTCTAAAATTAAGAATGAAATTATAACATCCTTTACTTTCTCTTTTGTCCCCCAGTGGGACAGCGGTACCTCTACGCACTAGCAACGTTAATATCTGAAGTTCGATTTCCCGCAGTGGTCACAGCAGATAGCTCAATTTGGCTTTGCTCTAAAACAAATAAACAATATTACTTTCTCTCATAAGTTCTTATAATTACTAATGTAGTGTTCTCCAGTTAAAGCTGTAGTCACTTGACTCGCTCCAGGATAAAGAAGTCTAGCTAACTGGTTTACTAATTCTTCTGATTTTAATTCAAGTAAATTAAAGAAAAGTTAATAACTACTAATTAATAATTCGTTGTTTAAATAAATAATTGGAAGTTAATAATAATTACAAACCAAATTCCGATTTGTAATGACTCAAAAATAAAATTGATAAAATAACAGTTCACCTACTTAATGTAGTTCACATTAAAACAGCTCAAGTAATTAATCACATCCCGATCACTAATATGCCTGTCGTATACTAGCCGGCCTGATGAGCCCTGTTTTTAGGCGAAATATCTCCTGAGCACCAAACATAACACTCAAAAATTCTTAAACTGTAAGTTTTGAGTGAGATAAAGTGCTTCTTGAGTGAAAATCCCGAATTATTTTATGTAAAACAATATATATATATATACATATAATTAACTTAAGTAAACTGTGAATAACTCGAACGAAACATAAAGGTTATTCAAAACAGTTTTCTATATTGAAGAGTAGCCTGTGATACTATGAAACTGGTTAAATAAGTATCAGTTTGGTACAAAATAAAGGATTCAAGTTATATATATATCCATAAGTATAGGTTTTAGATGTATCTTAAGTAAACTGAAAGTAATCTAAAGAAACGATAACGCTATTAATGGCAAATTTTTATACTTGAAAGTAGTATAGAGTTAAAGGATGAAGAGTAAGTTAAATAAAGACTGTTCAGTAAAAAAATAAACAAAATAAAAAGGATTAGAGATTTTTAATATGCATTCGTCTTGAAACTAGAAACAACATAATAAAACTGAAACTCAAAACCACACCTCTGCTACCATTCCTTACTGTCGTCCTCAAGTCATAAAGGATAATGCCTGTGCTCATAGCACCCAAATGCTTTGGGGAATATTCCATCTATCAGGCAAAATGCAAACGCTGATGAAAAACTTGCCAGCAACTAGGGAGAATCAGTTAAGAGTTAGGAGTTGACTGCTTGAACCCACAACGTCACAACTCCAACTGTCTTTCGCTATTTGCAGCCAGTTGTGGGAAGGCAGTAACCCTTAATATTTAGAAATAACTTTGATCTGGAATTAAACCGACCCGGTAAATATTCTACAAAATAAATCTCACAACCTCCGCCCTTTTAATTAGTATTATAAACAATAACAATAATATAATATTCTTACAGTAGAGCTACCCTTAACTACTACTGAGCTCCCAACCTCCACCCTTTTATTTGAAACTAACGAAAGCACCCGGCTTTAATCTGGTTATTAGGTTGATGTATTCTAGATGACCATGTCAGTATGTGTATTCTGAATCTATTGTAGCATAGAAGAACAGTCAAAAAATAATCTAAACATTTTTATTTTCCAGAAACATAAAAAAGCCATAAAGAAAGTGCATATATTACAATAATAATTATTCATTATCAAATAACTTTATCATTGCGTTAAATATTTCACATTTATATTTGATATCACAAATTCTTATTACATTTTGGGCCCTGCATGGCCAGGTGATTAGGACGCTTGACTCGCAATCTGTGGGCTCCTTACCTTAAGAAAGACATTGGATTATAGAAAAGGGTTCAAAGAAGGGTTACTAAAATGGTGCCTGGGATGGAGGGGTTGTCATACGAAGACAGGCTGAAATCTCTCAAACTGTTTTCTCTTGAAAAAAGAAGAGATAGGAGGGATCTGATTGAGGTGTTTAAGATTGTAAAGGGAATTGACGGTGTTGATGTATCATCTTTTTCATATCTAACAGTGAGAAGAGTAAGACTATGGGACACAAATATATATTTTGGCAAGGTAGGAGTCATCTTCAGTTAAGACAGTTTCATTTTTCTAACAGGATGGTTGGCCTTTGGAATGGGTTGCCTTTGTATGTTGTAGAGGCAGTAAATTTAAGTGAGTTTAAGAAAAAGCTTGACAAGTACATGAATGATAAGGGAAAAGATTTGTTTTAAATTATTTTAATTTAGTTTAGAGAATGGAACAGCCGAGATGGACCAATAGGTCCCATGCTGTCCCAAAACGTTATCTTATGTTATATAATGCGCTGTTAAAGAGGGTAGCTCTTCACATGGGTAAGGGGATGACAAGTAGTTTTCTAATATTGATATATTTATCTAAATGCCCCCCAGTGACACAGCGGTATGTCTGCGGACTTACAACGCTAGAAACTGGGTTTCGATACCCGTGGTGGGCAGAGCACAGATAGTCCAGTGTGTAGCTTTGTGCTTAATTCCAAACAAACAAACCAACAAATTTATTTAAATATGATAGATTTTTATATGCAGGAACTGTGAAACAAACATCCATGAATTGATATGCTACTAACACAGTTTATTGTTAGAAACACTGCAATTTTTATTGTTAGCGCCATTATAGTTTCCATATTGCTCATCTAAGTATATTGTTATCATGGAACAACTAATTCTACGATATATGGAGTATTGTGAAAAACACTACATTTTGTGAAGTATTGTGAAACATACTACGTTTTGTGAAATATTGTGAAACATATTACGTTTTGTGAAGTATTGTGATAAAGTGTTGAATGTATACCGGCTGAGCTTAAATTTAGGAATAACTGTACTAAATACAAAGTGTAAGAAACTACGAACAAATTTTATTAATACGAAAATGAAAATGTAGTGTGTGAACTTAGGTGGATAGTGTGACGATCGCTTCTTCTGGATCAGTTTATAGTAATTCCGGTTTTCTTCTCTCGAGACTAATTAATGGAGAGCTAAACACGCTGATAGCCAAACAGAATTGATATAGAAACGAGGTTTTCAGTTCACAAGAAACCCCGGTTTCTTTGTCTTGGATTGTGTCACCACATGACCGGTCACTCTCTCACAATGTTTGTCAACTGGAACTTATAGACATTATATAATAAGTCAGGGCTAACAGAAGGAGGCTGTAGCATTTTCTCAAGCAGAGGGGACTAAATCTGATACGAAAATATAGAGATAGAAAGAAAACACCACAAAACAAAGCTAGTTCTGAGAAACCTTGACGGTTTTTCTGGACCAATGTTTTATGCCAAACTGGCAGAATAAATATTAATTCCACAGAAAGAAAGCACCTATTTTCCTATACCACAGTCCTATAATTTGCGGCCCTTGGAAGTTTATAAGAAGTTCACCCTCCTCCTTGTACAAATTAAAATTAAACCTGTCTCCCTCATTCCTTACGGCACAGACCAGCACCCTTAATAACCATGTACTAATACAACTGAATATGATACCATAATCTTCTAAGAATTATCGAATAAATTATTAACAACCAAAAGCTATGTTGTGCATTGCAGATATGCCATTTTCAACATCATAACATAAAATATGTATGTGCAAATAAATATAATATATTCTCTGTGTGCATGATACAGCCTGACTTTATCCGAGTTGAAATAATGTGATTCTACTGCCACAGAATTGTGGTATTATAATAACTGACATTTACTACATTCGTTATTGAATAATATGTTTCTTCGTCTCATCAAAAGTACATTTATATTCATGTTTCTAAATAGAGCGATATTCAGATTTAATTCCCTGTTTTAAGTAATTGGCATAATGTCTGCCTATCTATCAAACAGTGATTATTAAGAGTTTTATGTTTGTTATTCAAGCCTTATTACTTTGTTGTGTTAACCACCTTTGTGTTTACACTATCTTTCTTAAGTTGATTTTAATTATAATTCTCTTTGTATGACAACATGTCTGTGAAATCGATTGTTTACATGATCATTTGTATATTTATCTGTGGATTAGAAAATATTTCTTTTCGTTGACTAATTTGATAACATTTATATGACAGTTTGTTATTGTATACTGATAACTGATGATTAACCGTTTCAATTTCTTGCAATGTCTATATTTTATTTAGGGTGGCGCTGTTGTGCAGAAACTGCAGCCTTGGCAGTATGTGGAACGCTATGTAAAGAACAGTGTTTGACCGTTCTGGTGGTCTGTAGCTTCTACGATTTGCTCTCGTTAAAGGTAATATATTGACCAGTTTGTTGATCTGTATAATATAAACTTGATAAATATAAAAAGATTGTACATAAGTTATCCATTGCCATTAAAGTTGTTTTTTGTTCAATACTGAGAGATAAATATTGTCATGGTCATTGGAAAATAAAACCAGTTATGTTATTATTCACATGCAAAAGTAGAAAAAATTCTCAATGCGTTTATTCTTTATGCTCTCCTAGTTACAATTATAGTATAAATAATAACACAACTTTAAACGAATTATGAACATATTCGATACTGCATTTCATGAAAAAATCCATTCAATCTATTGAGTTGTTTATTTGAAACTCGAGAAAAACGTATCACTACCGACAATCGATGAATTTTCTGAAAATATTCCCAATGTGAGTATCATAAAAATAATTCTGGGATTATAGATGTAGCAAGTTAACCCTAGAAGTGTTCTTACATTGTAGTAATCATACCTCAAGGAGCATTAATTTTATACATGTATTTTAAGATACCAATTTAGGGGAAACTTAGACATCATATTTTCTTTATTGTAACGATAAGTATAGGATTAAAAAGATGAATAAATGCAACCACTGATAAGGTATTGATATAATTATATGTTTTCAGAATGATATTAGGTACATATATGTGAACTTCAGGGAATTATTTGAATTGTATTTATGAGTTAAAATGAAAATATGTTTATGTTTAATGTTAGAATCACGTGATGTTCACTTTGTTCAGACTAGATGGATATGAAATTTGATTAACCAGATCAAGTCACTAATTAATACTAATGAGTATATTTTCCCTTTTGTGTTATTTATCATGCAGCTAGCTCAAACTTTTGTCTCATTTAACAATGTACTTAGATAGTTATAAGATTATAGTAGTCTGTGTGTGATTCAAAGGTCTTTGATGGATAATTGAAGTAGTTAATATATATATATATAAACATAAAGAAAATATAGTTCTAAGACTTTTTCATCATACCACTGTTTCTAGTTGCTTGTTAGTTGAAAAGTTTTATTTTCATTCCGCCTTTCTCAGCATAATATTTCATATGCACGCAATCTATTGAATTCTCTTTCTCTAAATACGTATATATAAATTAAGTTTGCACATTTGGAAGATTAAGTTAATTAATAATACTATATAAAAGATATATATATATATATAGAGAGAGTAAATACAACAAATACTCAAGTGTTTACATATGAGACCCGTTTATACATTTTTCCATTGTCATTGGAGTTAGGAAGAAACAACAATAAATCGCATTCTAATGCAGAAATGAGTCTAATGGTAAATATGGATATTGGAGATTTTCGACTTCATAAAACAGCTACTTTTCTGTGATGTTACAGAATAAATTGTGTTAAGTTAGCCACTTCAGGAACCAGACAGCAGTGTCTAATTCATTACGTGTATTTGTGTGTGTAATTCTTTCATCCATTACGTTAATTAGTCACTTCAGGAACCAGACAGCAGTGTCTAATTCATTACGTGTATTTGTGTGTGTAATTCTTTCATCCATTACGTTAATTAGTCACTTCAGGAACCAGACAGCAGTGTCTTATTCATTACGTGTGTAATTCGTTCATCCATTACGTTCAGTTAGCCACCTCAGGGACCAGCAGCAGTGTCTAATTCATTACGTGTGTTTGTGTGTGTAATTCTTTCAACCATTACGTTCAATTAGCCACTTCAAGAACCAGACAGCAATGTTTAATTCATTACGTGTGTTTGTGTGTGTAATTCTTTCAACCATTACGTTCAATTAGCCACTTCAAGAACCAGACAGCAATGTTTAATTCATTACGTGTGTTTGTGTGTGTAATTCTTTCACTCATTACGTTCAATTAGCCACTTCAGCAACCTGACAGCAGTTTGTACTTCACCATGTGTGCCTGTGGGTATAATTGTTGTATCCATTATAACTTTTTAACAATATTAAACTATCATACTTAGTAATTTACAACGTTTTATTTTACGAATATCATCAAGTATATTGTTACTGTTCTGTTTTATGGTAAGTAATGCTCTACCACTATCTTTTGAAACCGTTATTTAATTTCAGGTTTCCTGTCTCACTCACATTTGGCAGTGTGTTCTACTAGGCCGGGGAGTGGTGTCTCTATGGATACGAAAATCGCTGGCCCGAATTGGATTTTTAGGGTTAACAGCTCTTCTGACGATAGTGATACGGTTTAGGCTGATGGGTCCACATTTACCACAGTTCAACAGGTGAGGAGCCAGTTCATTTATTCAGTTTTGTTTTAAATGTTTCATAAGCTGTTTATACGATCGAAATGATATGGTATAGGTAAAGGAAAGCTCAAACAATAGCAAAAAAACAAACAACAAAAACAAACAAACTGAAGCGGGATTTCGATTTGAAGTATTGTTTATTACACTTAAATCATAAATAGCGTAGAGCATTTTGTAAGCCATCTACAGTGTCTTGCAAAAGTATTCACCCCCTACAAAGTTTCCATATTTTGTTGCCGTCTGAGCTTGCAATCATGAAACTTTCAAATGGGACTTTATATTTTATATTTAGAATTTACACAATTTTATCCAAACTGAGAAAGCTAAAAATCGCTTATTTGGGTTTTCAAAGACAATTAGAATATTCTCAATTACATAAGTATTCAACCCCTTTTCTACAGCAACCCTAAATCAGTTCAGGTGCAAAAGATTAGTTTGAAAGATCACAAAATGAGTGTAATAGTCTCTATCTGTTTGTAATAAAAGTGGTTTCACTTAACTTCAGAGTAAGTACATCTGTTCAAGCCACAACTCACGTAAAGACCAAGGATCTTTCCAAACAAGTCAGGAATGAAGTGGTAGAGAAGCACAGATCAGGAGAAGGTTACAAGAAAATTTCAAAGTCGTTGATTATCCCTTTGAGTACGGGGAAGTCTATCGTTAAGAAGTGGAATGTGCTTCATATCACCCAGTCACTACGCATATCAGGCCGCTCTTCCAAACTAAGCGGCCAGGCAAGCATAAAACTGGTTAGTGATGCCACTGTGAAGCCAACAGTGACTTTCAAATATTTGAAAAGTTCCATGTCTCAGATAGGAGTCAGTGTTCATACATCGACAATATCCCGGTCTCTACACAAAGTTGGCCTGTATGGGCGAGTGGCAAGAAAGTAGTCATTACTGAAAAAGAATCATCTTAAATCTTGTATGGGGTTTGCGACAAAGCATGTAAATGATACTGTAGACATGTGGCAAAAGGTTTTGTGGTCAGACGAGAGAGAAATTGAGTTTTATTTATCTAAATTCAAAGCATTACATCTGGTTCAAGCCCAACACAGCACATCACCCAGTCAACACCATCTCAACTGTCAAGCCTGGCGGTAGCAGCATCATGTTATTTGGATGTTTCTCATAAGCAGGGACTTGGAAGCTTGTCAGGAAAAAAGGGGAAGATGGATGGTGGAAAGTACAGCAAATTCTAGAGGTAAACCTGCTTGAGTCACCTAAGAATCTAAAACTGGGTCGAAAATTCACATTTCAGTAGAACAATGACCCGAAGCACAAGGCGATAGCCACACTGGAGATGTTTCAAAAGAAAACGGTGAATGTCCTAGAGTTGTCCAATCAAAGTCCTGACTTAAATACAACAGAAAATGTATGGCGAGACTTGAATATTGTAGTCCATCAACAATCCTTAACAAACTTGTCAGAATTGGAGCAATTTTGCCAGTAAGAATGGGCAAATATCCAAACATCCCATTGTGCAAAGCGGTAGAGACCTATCTAAAAAGACTCACACCAGTGGCTGTTACCAAAAGTGCTTTCACCAGGTACTGAGTTAGGAGGCTGAATACTTATGTAATCAGCAAATTTCAATCTAAATATTTTCCTTGCAGGTTGTTCCTCACACATAACAGTGTTAACTTTGATCATTAGACTTCTGAATATAAACAAGTTAAAAATTGTTTACATTATTTGTATTTCATCAAAATGTGACATTACTGGTAGTGGGGTGAATACTTTTGCAAGGCGCTGTATATACCTATGAGCAGTAAACGGATTTAGAGATGATATTCTGTTAACTTCATATTACATTATTCTTTGAATAAATAGTTAAGAAATTGACCACATTAAACTACTTTCTCACGTAATTAATGTAAAATATTAGCAGAAATTATTCAAATATGAGAAATAATGACAATGACTCATTCGATTCGTTACTAAATAAGAAAAAATAACAGCGTTTATGTTAGCTTGCCTTTAATAACAGATGGATTGTGTGTTTAGAATGACAAAGAACGCGGTTCAAACACCTCAGATTTTCCCATGAATGTGGTACCCGGCGTGGCCTAGTGGTTGGTATACTAAGCTGTGGATGGAGCCACCATATTCCACTGAATATGGCCGCAGTTTTAGTTATGTAGGAGATATCACTGTAACGATCAGTCCATCTAATTTGGTTAAGCGTAGCCATGAAGTTTTCAGATGCTGTTCACTCTTTGCACTCCCTCTGCTCCGCAGTTCGTTGCCTGAATCTTGGGGTTCTCTGACCTACGTGGCATTTAAAGTACCTTTTAGATTGAAGATACCAAATACGTGGCATTACGTGGAGATACCAAATACATGACATTACGTGGAGATACCAAATACGTGGAGATACGTGGCATTTAGGTTGAAGATACCAAATACCAACTGAATTAAACGTAATACCGAATAAAAAAAAAAAGCACTTATAGCTTAACTGTTGGATACATGTATTCAAGACGTATAATATACTGAAAACAGAAGCATTAAGCAACTTTAAGACTTTTTGCTAAGGCGAAATTAGTGTCTATAAGGCATACTATGAATGAATTTTGCGAAATATTTTCATATGTGTTTCATACCCTTTAGATCCTAAAAACATTTCAAAGACGATTCCAACCTTCTAATTAAATCTATGGTGATAATGTCAGTCAACTTTATTTTTACACTTCTTGCTATTGTTACATTCTATGGATTTCTTTGTTTAAGTGCCAAGATGCAGCTATGATGCACAATGAGCTATCTGCGCTGCACCAACCAAAGAAATGGAACCTTGAACTTTATAAGCGTCAAGTTACCTGCTGAAACGCCATACAAAATGGATTTTTTTGTTTTCAATTTTGCGCAAAGCTACAGGAGAGTTATCTGCGCTAGCCGTCCCTAATTTAGCAGTGAAAGACTAGAAGGAAGGCACCCAGTCATCACCACCCAAGCCAACTCATGAGCTACTATTTTAACAACGAATAATGTGATCGATCGCCACATCATTACGCTTGAAAGGGCGAGCATGTTTGGTGAGATGGGGATTCGAACCTACGCCCATCAGATTGCGAGTCGAGCGCTCTAACCATCTGGCTATGCCAGGCCTACCGAAAGGAAGTTGTACATTCAAGCGTTTTATAATCATATGGAAAGGTAAACAATAAGGGGAATCCGTCGCAAACATGAGAAGATGAGTAGTACATTAAAGATGAGTAGTACGTTAAAGATGAGTAGTACATTAAAGATGAGTAGTACATTAAAGATGAGTAGTACGTTAAAGATGAGAAGTACATTAAAGATGAGTAGTACGTTAAAGAGGAGTAGTACGTTAAAGAGGAGTAGTACATTAAAGATGAGTAGTACATTAAAGATGAGTAGTACGTTAAAGAGGAGTAGTACGTTAAAGAGGAGTAGTACATTAAAGATGAGTAGTACGTTAAAGAGGAGTAGTACGTTAAAGAGGAGTAGTACATTAAAGATGAGTAGTACGTTAAAGAGGAGTAGTACATTAAAGATGAGTAGTACGTTAAAGATGAGTAGTACGTTAAAGAGGAGTAGTACGTTAAAGAGGAGTAGTACATTAAAGATGAGTAGTACATTAAAGTTAATGCGTTTTTTAGCCTGCAGGTGCAATACTATAAAGTGTTCCATTTGTCATATTTAACTTGACTAAATTCATACAGCAATACGATTTTTCATAATGTTTTGATAAGTAATTCAAGTGATTTTTTCTCTTATGCTTGTTGGAGTTTGAATTAGATCTAACTAGTCAATATAATATTAAATTTTAAGTATTTACAAATTAACATTTCGAAAACAGCAGATATCATCATATCGAAAATTGAACATTTGTAGCTTTGGGGTAAAAAATGAATAAAATATTTTAGTAAATTTGTTTCATCGTAAATCATCTTTCACGTACATATAAACTCATTCATCTTTCATCATATAAATATATTTGCTATTCTGTCTTCATTACAAGTTTTTCTGTCAAGTTACCTACATCTTATGGTAAATTTGGTGATATGTATAATAGTTTCACCATTTATCATTCTTTCACTTACTCAGTTATGTTCAATCAGAATTCTAGTTTTTGACTCAAAGTAAAGACTTACATAAAAGTTTCTAATTTTTATTTTAAGTAACATGTTCGATTTTCGGGGTATAAAGTAACTTGTAACTTTGTAAAGTGTATCAAACATAAAGTAAATAATAGTTAAATTTTCTGAATGCATAATTTCTTTAATGAAATGTTTTGGTGGGTCCAATTTTGTTTTTTTGAATTAAACAAAATCGATTTATAGTGGACCTTAAAATATGCTGTGTTTCTGTAATGAAAATGTGCACGTTTTGTTCTTTGTTGAGATCATAAATTGGCTAGCAGCCATTAGGTAAACATTCTGGCATTGAAGTGTGTTATGTGTATCATCCAATTATCATCGATAATAATTAGTAACTTTTTCAACTGTTGACAAAGAAAAGTGCTTCAGAAATATATCCTCTAAACGAAACACGTTTTCCAATTAATATAGATTTTATCATGTTCATTTTTTTAATTTATACCATTTCAGGTTTTGCTATTACTGTTAGTTTATTCCTTCATCGAAATATTTATATTTTTTCGTTATTCTATATTTCTTAAAGCTTTCATTTTCGATCATTGTGAAAGCAGCTCCAAACTGCAAAGATTTGTCGAATTAGACTGATAAACTTTTGTTCTCTACACTAGTTTGATCGAAGCAGGAAAAAATACCATCTGTAAGCATACGTCCTGACAAAGAGAAAATATTAAGCTGTTGATTTACTCTTGAATATTAAAACAATTTATGCATATATCAATAAATGGACATAGAAACAATAACATAAAGTTATGTTTGTTTATTACATTTAACATGTTCATCTCCATTTTCACAGATATAATTTACTAATCACATGGTAAAAGAGCTTAAATAAGCGCTTATATATACATGATACATTATTAAAGAAAAATTGATATTTTCATCGATTTATTGAAACGGTGTACGCATTGTGTTGAACTTTGTCATAATTACGGTATAAGGATAACGCAGATGATCTATTTTCGATATTTGTCTGCCACAACTAAAATGTTAAGATATAGTAGTTGATCACATTTTTAACTTTGTCCACCAATGGAAAGATAGAATAGATAATGACATTTTGAAAATCTTTTAACCATTATCTGGCTTCTTGTATTCGGTTTGTATTAGTATGTCAGAAATATTTGAGTTGTGTTATCATCTTTTCCTGACTAAGAGACTCTAGTAGGCAGGAAATGTGCATTATCAAAATATATAATATAAAGGGCAAGTAATAAGGTAGGTATTTATTTGAGTTTCTTTTGTGCTTAATGCTATGAAGCAATCTCCCTTATTTTCAGGGTTATTCTTAAGTATATTCTACGTTTAATCAATAAATTTGTTCTCTTCGTGGATGAGGCACTAAAGTCTGATTATACAACATTTCTTATATAATGTATTTTATTGAATATAATGTTATTGCTTCCGCTGCTATATCGGAAAGTTTCAATTAAAATTCCATTTTCATTTTATTTTTTAAACTCCATTTCCTCATATAACGTGCAAACTTATGTAAATCTCTTCTTTATTACATGAATCAAGAGAAGTACTTTGTGTTAATTTCAATTAATTTTTCTTAAAGGTTTGATAACCCGGCTTCTGTCTCTCCATTCCCCGCTCGCCAACTAACTTTCAGCTATCTGCTATCTTTGAACGCCTGGCTTCTACTTTTTCCTTGTGATCTTTGTTGTGATTGGACCATGGGTACCATCCCATTAGTGACGTCAATAGAAGACCTGAGGAATATTTCTACGTTATGTTTTTGCGTAGTTTTGTTTCTTTTGTTACGGAGCTCTTGGCTTTCAGAGGAAAGTCAAAGGGTACCGTTACTTATGGTAAGATGATTAGATAGATAGACAATAAAAGTAATTTAATTGGTGTTATTATAGCCAGAAAACTCTATAAAGTTTTAATAATATTGCATTTATTATACCAATAGCTTTCATAAAATTTTAAACTGTAAACAAAATTTACCAAATTTTGGAAAATAAATAGAATTTGCATATTTTGTAAAGTTTTAATATGAGTGTTTTTTACCAAAGTTTCTTCATTTTATTATTTTAATAGTTTAATAATAAAAACGTATTTTTGTACGCATTACATAATACATGATGAAATTTATTTTTCCTTATACACGGTTGCGATGATATTTTTTCTTACGTTTGATATTTTAGGTTTTGTTCCTTCTTATCCACGGTTAAAAATATTTTTTTTCTTTCTTACGTTTGATTAATATTATAGGCTTTGTTCCTTCTTACGCACGGTTGAGAAGATATTTTTTCTTTCTTACGTTTGATTGATAATGTTGGTTTTGTTTTTCTTTCGATGGGTGAGAATATTTATTTATTTTTCTTACGTTTGATTGATATTATAAGCTTTGTTCCTTCGTACGCACGGTTGATAAGATATATTTCTTCTTTCTTACGTTTGATACTGTAGGTTTTGTTTTTATTTCGACGGTTGAGAATATTTATTTATTTTCTTACGTTTGATTAATATTATAGGCTTTGTTCCTTATTACGCACGGTTGAGAAGATATATTTCTTTCTTTCTTACGTTTGATACTGTAGGTTTTGTTTTTATTTCGACGGTTGAGAATATTTATTTATTTTTCTTACGTTTGATTGATATTATAGGCTTTGTTCCTTCTTACGCACGGTTGAGAAGATATTTTTTCTTTTTACGTTTGATTGATACTGTAGGTTTTGTTTTTCTTTCGATGGTTGAGAATATTTATTTATTTTTCTTACGTTTGATACTGTAGGTTTTGTTTTTATTTCGACGGTTGAGAATATTTATTTATTTTTCTTACGTTTGATTGATATTATAGGCTTTGTTCCTTCGTACGCACGGTTGAGAAGATATATTTTCGTACAATTGATTAAGATGATAGGTTCTTTTTACGGTCGACTGTGGTGATTTCTTTTTTTTTTCTAGGGTCTTTCTTTGTCTGTTCTACCGTTTTTGCCAGCCTCCAATCTGTTTTGCCACGTTGGATTTGTTATTGCTGAGCGTGTCCTCTACCTTCCTAGCATGGGTTTCTGCATCCTTATTGCCATTGGATGGACACATTTATGGCGAGATAGGTATATAATTATTTGTAACACATGATTTATTACAGCCTGACAATATTTCGCATTTCACTTTATTTTTAGGACCCTAAAAGTAATGTCAAACTCTAAGGTGTCACCAAAGTCAATCAAATAGATTCCAATATTCACCACATATAAGATATCACAGTCAAGAAACCCAAAGAACCACAGATGCAGGACCAAGCATACACAAAGTAGCTGTTTCGAGATTGAACGTCATAAGAAAGTTGAAACTTAGATCTAAAAGTCTTGAAACATGTAGCCGAGATATAAAACTTGTTTTAAAACATTACAGCGATGTAAATTACGTTCTCGGAACGTAACTGTGCTATGGAACTCTATCATAGAATGCGATCAATTTCCATACTGTGTAGATGCATAGGAGATAAATCGAGCTTCTAAACACTGTCTAAAATTTACACTGACCTAAACTGAACGCGAGCATTTCGGAACACCACTGAATTATAGTACTCACTGCCAGAAGTGTTCTATTATCCAACCGATATTAGAGCAGCAACCGTTAGAATTAACGTTCCAGATCCCTAAGCTTCTAGCCATTTTCACTTGGTTTTTGCATGTTTCACAAATAAAAGAATATTATTCGTTATGTATGAATCTATCAAAATGATAGCTCACATCAGTATTTTTATTTCATGAGAAAAATACATTAGTATATCAGTTGGCAAACAACTGTACGGCACAATAGACAGATCGTGTATAACTGATATATAATGCTATACAATATCATTCCAGGATCCAAGTCTAATGGCTGATCGTTTTTTTTGTGTGTGTTTTATGAAAAACTGTATCAGAGCATAGCGTCTAGAAAATACTGAGTACTAAAACAGACGAAATACCTATTTTTAAAACTCTAAAGATGATCCCATTATTTTACATGTTAAAAGTCGTTTTGTAAGTTTATAATAACTTAATGAAGTAGAAGATTAAAACAGAAAGTTGAAACGCGTCTCTTTCAAATAAATATGAAGCTGATATGTATGGAAAAGATAAAAACACAGCAAAGAAAATAAGAAATACAAGATGCATTATTAAGTTAGAAGTATTTTAGTCTCTAGATGATGTAGAAAGAAAAAGAAATATATGTTAAATGTGCAGTTTCAATGTGCATACGTACACCTGTGATACAAAAACAGAATCAATGTCTTAACAAACTAAAGCGCATGACAACAGTCAAAACTGAAAAGAAAGTTAAAAAAAAGGCAGCGAAAGGATAAAAGAAATGTTCTCGTGCTTGATGGTTAAGTAGAATAAGTCATAAAATTGATCTTACTTCGCACGTGTTTCAGACGCCTGAGGGGGTCGGCTGTGGTCGGCTTAGCACTACTGGTGACCATCCACGGAATGAAGACAGTTGTAAGAAACAGAGAGTGGTAAGTTCAACTGGCGCTACTAAACACAGGCGAAATGCATATACTTTGTTTATCTCTTTTGCATGCATAACAATATGCTATGTTTACATAAGTTATATTTCGTCCATACATACATTTATATATATATATCAAATGTCTTCTTGTATGCATGCATGTGCATACATATATATACAGAATGAGCATAAATAAACATAACATATGCACCTAACGGAGAAAACAAACACATGCGGTTTGACTATCTTTACAAATGTGTATATGTATATATATATATTATCTCTGTTTTCTTCTTACACGTACATGCATTTGTATGTGTACTAAGTTAATAAGTATAACGTATTTTTTTCACATATTAACATATGTTTCACGTTCTTTGGTATTCATGGATGTATATATATATATATGTATGTGTGTGATACGGCTGTACATTGTTGGTTTATTTTTAAGTTACTTGCATTCATGGAATCTCGCCTGTTACAAGACGCTGCATTTTACTTACCTCGGCTGAGGTAAGACTTGTTGAAGGTTTCTTTCTGGAAATTTAAACCGGCAGTCTGAACACATATTTACGATCTGCGTGTATGAATATCTTGAGTCGGAAAGGGTTGTTACGTACCATTCCCAAAACGATAAATTATCGACGGCTCACTCTACCTACGCGCGACCAAAGAGGTCAAAATATTGTTCTTATGTATACCATTCCACCAAGACTATATATTGACAGTGGTTGTTACATGACTGCTGATTTGCTTATCAAAGGCGTTATAATATAACGTATTCAGCTCTGTATTTCATCCTGTAAAAACGGCAATATATACTGTTTAAAATTTAAGAATTTAAAAGCATGATTCTTAAATTTTAATTGTTATTAATCATAACTGTACCTTTTTTTTAAACAAAACTGGTAAAATTGATCCTCTACTAGTGCAAACATAGAACATATTCCTTTTTATTCACTAAATTTGTACTCTATTCTCTTCAACGGAATAATATAATAATAATAAATTTAAACTACATGTCTTGTGAACTTAAAATGTTAAGACTTCTACATACAGGCACACAGTGTTAAGAAATTATAATAGATAAAGGTAACTAGAGTTATAAAAGTACAAATTTATCGCTTATATCTGTTTTTTTTTAACCTAAAGTTGTAGGTAGGAACAGTAAGAAATAAGAATCAATTGTCTTCCTGTACAACACGTTTCAGTGGACAAAGTGGATACTATCTTAAAATGTATAGTTAGAGAGAAACCAGTTGCGTATACCTTGTAGTTGCGAATGAAATAAGACTAGAAAATAAAACAAAAATCATAATGATTATAATGAGAATTAGAAGCAAATACTTGCTACGTAATCTGAGCACGTGGTAAGCTGAATTTACACCTCTAACTGTATAGTCTGAATCTATATATAGCTACTCTTTGGAAACAAGTAACTTTAGTCCTGACAATATTTTATATTGCGACGATTCAGTTTAGTATCTGTCATGAAAGTAGGTCTCAGTACCTGTCATGAATGTAGGTCCTTCAGAGTGCTGATACGAGCAAAGAATAACAAGAAATAAACTAATAAATCTCTACAAATTTCAAGTCGTGAGTTCCCAAAATTGCAGGCAGTAAAATGACTAAATTTGAGAACTTTTTGCTTGAACTTGTCTTATAGAATTATGTTCATGACTTCCTGTTTACTTAATTGATCATAATTAATTTATAAAACAACCAAAATGTAAATAGAAGAAATAAAAAGTTTGTAAACAATAACAGAAATAGTAAATATAACATTTATGTAATATTATATAAATAATAATGTATTAAACCGGGACCTAACGTAGCCTACAAATCAGTACGTGATAGGCTAGCATTCATCAGAAAAATTATATAGTGGGAGGTTTAAAGAGAGGTTATAATAGCCTGGAAACTATAGTGCGAATTCGGCCACACTGGTGGGAATAGTGGGCGATTTAAAGAGAGGTTATAATAGCCTGGAAACTATAGTGCGAATTTGGCCACACTGGTGGAAAATGCAGAATCCAGATATCACAAGGAACTCAAATCTTTATTCAGAATTAAAGAGAGTACCCAAAAGCTTTATTTTCATTCAACCCATCAAACACGTCTCCCTCACTAGCTCTCAGACTGGGAATTACAATTCTTCAAGCTAAAACTAATAGACAATAACTGCTACACGTTACGAAACTACCTAATGTCTCTTTCAGTGGCTATTGAATGTTATACATCAATACGAATGATTACTTGTGAAATATTACTTTCCAACTTTTTCCTACAAAGCTATATTTCGCGGTACGAAATGTATAGTCTCGCAGAGATGTTATTAACCAATTCAAAACGTACCATCAGTGATACGACTGTAAACTGTGCAAATATATATATATATATGTTAAATTAGTACTCCAGTTGGTCACCGATCAGTTTAAGAACTAACAACGCTAAAATCCGGGGTTCGCGAAATCGACAGAGCGCACACAGCCCATTGTGTAACTTTGCGCTAAAACAAAACACATACACATTAAAATAATTCACAGAAATTGAAAACTTTATGTTCAGCTTGTATGAAAATACAATTGAAATAGTTTTGTTTTTTATGGTATAATACAGAAATTGCATACAAAATCAAAGTTGACTGTTTTGGTATGTGTTTATTAATGAGTTATGCCATGTCTTAAAAGGAAAACATGCATATTTTGTCCCGTGTAATTTACGTATATAGTTTGCAGGGAACATTGTTAATATCTTAATTAATATTTATTTGGACAACTTTGAGAATGTTATTATCCGGATAATTTCATTCCTAGGGAATCCGATGAAACTCTGTTCTCTTCGGGTCTCCGGGTGAACCAGAAAAATGCTAAGCTTTACAACAACTTGGGAAAAGTTTTAGAAGAACAGTCTCAGTACGAGGAAGCCTTACAATATTTCCAACAGGCAATTAGGTACGATAAGTTTTCCAAATCAAAAACACTAGTAATCTAAAGGAAAGCATATTACAGATAGTTTCTTTAGAACGATAAATATTGTTAATAAGTAAAAAAAAATGTTTTCACTTAGTCCTAAGTAACTGAACGCAAACCGGTAATAACTAAATACACTCAATAATAATAATAAAAGTTCCTACTATAAAATTGTATTCTTTATTTATTTTCTTTGCAGAAAAATTTTGTATTGGAACACATTTTGAAGTCAAGATTTTTTTTTTACATATTCAAGTGCCAATAAAAGTGGAGTTTCCACGGTCTTTGAGTGATTGTAGAGGCTTCTGGTTTTACTTGTCTAATATAATTTTCTGTTTTTGTTTCTTTCAGAATCCAGCCGGATGATGTTCGAGGTTACCTCAACTCTGGTCGGCTTTTCACACACATGAAGAAATATCAAGAAGCTGAGCTTGTTTACCTCAAGGTACGTGGGACTTCGAGTCGTTAGGTCGATTATTTATCTCCTATGAGTTTCCAAAAGAAACTCAAAGCAGGCCTTTCTTGTCATGACACACCTGGAGACTCGTTAGTGTCTGTTTAATTTCCACTCACTCTGCTCTACTCATATCCTCTTTCCTTGGATTAGAGCACTGATAACTTTATCAAGTATTGAAGAATATAGATTATAGAAACCTTAAAGTAAAGTAAAGTTTGTTTTGTAGGAAAGAAATTTTTAGATACGTACGTGATTAGCCTTTAGGATGTTGTACAAAAAGTACTAATTTTTTCGTAAAAGAAAATCTTTAAAAGTACGAACTTAGTTATTTATCTTCAGAGATTGTTGAAAGGTTTTACTTTTTCGTGTATCGGTTTTGTTTTTGTATACCGCATCAACTACGAGTTCTTCTGTCATTGTTTCAAGCAAAATCAATGATTCGATACGCATACGGTTTTACTCTGTCGTTTTATGATGCTTGGGAAAAATCAACAGAATACCAGTTACTGCGTTTTTATTTTTTCTTGTCTGTCTTTGTATAGATTTTTATAAATTTCTTTCATCTATTTATGTAAACTAGAGAGGACTTGTGGTTAAAATGTCACACAATATAACTGTTTGTGACTTTAAAAAATATGATTGTCTTAATTTTTCTTTTTACTTTAGATAGCTGAGAATAAGAATTTGAAATATTATGTACGATAAATTGGTCTTAAATGTTTTACTTATTAGAAATGTATGATAAAAATAAATATTTTTCGTAGTATCACGATATATATCTAACAGTTTACCACTGTGCCATCATACGGAAAATACAGCTGAAGAGTATATACACGAATTCCATATTTATACACCGAGACGTTTTGCTGATTATTTATTAACTCATAGTTATTGATTTCTGTATAATTCACAGCAGTCTAGAAATGTAAATATGAAAGTGTTATAAGCATATAGTGTTACCGCTTTGTAATTTGAGGTGGATTTGGTTAAATTTCGTAAGATTTTGATTAATAACATATTAACTTTTATTTCTGTGTTGCATGCGTATAATAAGTCGGTTTGCATTAGTATATCTATAATAATAAAAGGGCGGCGTGTCTGTGTGACCGCTATAACTCCAAGAGGAAAAAACCTACAGATCTGAAATTCTGCACACATATTAAGTGGACCCTGAACATGTGCATATGAGTATTATTACTTATCCACGTGAGTGCCCGCATGCGCATCTTTTTATGAAGCAAGGTGACCACCATATCTCCAGGAGGAAATAGCACAGAAATCTGAAATTTTGCACCCATAATAAGTGGACCCTGAAGGTGTGCACTTGGGTATTATCACATATCTACATGCGTGCGTGAATGTATGTGCGCATCTTTTTGTGTGAAAAACTACATAGAAAAGAAATGTGTCCGCCATGGAATTTATAGAGTGTTTTAACAATTATGAGATATTATGGTGTTCTTCTTCAACTATTATGAATGTTATAGTGATTTCTTTAAACTATTATGGGATGTTATAGGGTAGTTTTCATTATTATGAGATGTTAGTGTTTTAACTATTATGAGATGTTATAGTGGTTTTTATACTATTATGGAATGTTATAAAGTAGTTTTATACTATTATGGGATATTATAGAATAATTTAACTATTATGGGATATTATAGAATATTTTAACTATTATGTTATAGTGGTTTTTTAACTATTGTGGGCTGATGGAGTGGTTGTTTAACTATTACTAGCGTATAGCCCGTCAAAAATGACGTGGCAAGTACTACTCCCCCACCACATAGTATACACTCACATTTCATAACTAAAATAAATAAATTTTGCGAACTCAAGCTTGACCAACGAAGAGGCAGAATTGGGATGTTATACTGTCGTGAACGCTTTTACGCTCCTTTTTTGGTAATGATCAATAATAGTCGCTTAGCAACAAAACTATCATGGAATGTTATAGAGTGTTTTCTAACTACTATGTTAAAATGGTTTCTTAACTATTATGAGATGTTATATTGTTTTTTAACTATTATGGGATGTTATAGGGGTTTCAACTATTCCTAGCGGCCCGGCGTGGCCAGGTAGATGGTTAGGGCGCTTGACTCACAATCTGTGGATCGCGGGTTCTAATCCCCGTCTCACCAAACATGCTCACCCTTTCATCCGTGGGGGCGTTATAATGTTACTGTCAATCCCACTATTCGTTGATAAAAGAGTAACCCAAGAGTTGGGAGTGGGTGGTAATGACTAGACCCATTCCCTTTAGTATTTTCGCGAAATTCAAAACAAACCAAACCAAACTATTACTAGCATATAGCCCGTCAAAATGACGTGGAAAGTATTACCGCCCTCACCGCATAGTATTCCCTAAAATTATATTTCATAGCTAACTAAAATAAATAAATTTTGCGAAATCAAGCGTGACCAACAAAGAGGCAGAAAATAGAATGTTATACTCTCAAGAACGCTTTTACGCTCCTTTTTTGATAATGATCAACAATATATACTCGTATATATATATATATCGTCACTTAGCAACAAAACTATTATGGATTTTTGTAGTGTTTTACCTATTAGTGGTTGTTATGCAGTAGTTTTTAACTATTACAGAATGTTATAGGGTAGTTCTAACTATTACAAGATGTTATAGGGTAGTTTTAACTATTATGGGATGTTATAGAGTGGTTTTAACTACTACGGGATGTTATAGGGTAGTTTTAACTATTATAGGACTAGCACATAGCCCGACAAGAATGACGGGGCAAGCATTACCACCCCTATCCTCCAATAGTATACCCTAACCTCACATTCGATAGCTAACTGAAATAAATAAATTTTGCGAAATCAAGCTTGACTAACAAAGAGGCAGAAAAATGCAGTCGAGGCAGTCAAACATCAGTAAATTCTTTACAATGAGCAAGCTAGCAAAAACCACATGGGAAAGAAGTGGTTCCTAATATAACAACTTCTAATATATAGAAAAGTCAGTGTGTTTTAATAACAATGCGTTCCAACAGTGCCTTTTATGTCATGTTGCTTAGCAACAAAAGTATATAGGTTATACTTTTGTACTAAAATGGGTTCAGAATACATACACTGACATAGATATTTAGAGTATATCATCCTAATAACCCAAGCGAAGCCGGGTACTTTCGCTAGTCTATAATAATAAAAGGGCGTGTCTGTGGGTCTGTGTGTGACCGCCATAACTCCAAGAGGAAAGAACCTAGAAACCTGAAATTTTGCACACATACTAAGTAGACCCCGAGGGTGTCCATCTGGGTATTAAACACTGACATAGTCATCTAGAATATATTAACTCAATAATCCGAGCAAAGCCGGGTACTTTCGCTAGTCTATAACAATGAAAGGGCGTGTCTATGTGTGTTACTACCATAGCTCCAAGTGCAAAGAACCCAAAAACCTAAAATTTTGCCCCCCATACTAAGTGGACTCTGAGGGTATGCACCTGGGTATTACTTATCTTATTTATTTTTGCATGCGCGTGTGCATCTTTTTAACGAGGCAAGCTAGCGAAAATCCACATGGAAAAGAACAACTTCTAATATATAGAAAAGTCATTACGTTTTAGGAACAATACGTTCAAGCAATGTCTTTTATATCATACTGCTTAGCAACAAAAGTATAACCTAATATTGTTGTTACTCTATATACTGAAAGTATAAAATGAAATGTATAAACAACAAAACTGGAAGAATATTTGTTGATTTCTTAACTTAGAGTTTTGGTTGATTAAAGGGTTTGTTTTTTTATTAACAACGTTGGTGATATATGTAACAGAAAATAGCTTACTTCAGAAACGATTTAAGTTTAAAATTGGATTAATATTTTTATTTTCATGATGAATTTTATACACTTGGCTCTAGGCTAGGTTATCTCACACTGTCTTTACTTTAGGCTTATTCATTAATTTATTTAAATCATACGAACATTCACTACATTTATAAGGTTTCACAGCAACCCCATTCACAGCCTCCTTGCACTCCCGTCACTTAAATCGTATTGGACAGACAGTAATCGAACTATTCTATCTGGGTAAATGTATTTTGGCTTTTATGGCTCCTCTTAGTTCGAGGAATCAAGCGTGACGTCAGAGACAGTAGCTTTTATTTAGAAGATATCAACCTAATAACCCGATCGAAGCCGGGTACTTTCGCTAATAATTTATATACTTAACTTGAATTAACGTAGCACATGTAAAATATGTAAATTTTGTGGCCCAAATACGTAAAGGGAGCTATAGTGAAACTCCCAACGAAAATGTTAGGGATATTAATTTGCCTTATATTTGATGCGACTTTTTCATGTGAGGATACTTACATGATCATTTTTAACATTTGTTATGTTATACCCTTTCAATGGTCATGCAAATATTGCTTAGTTATGAAGAAAGGTTTGTTGTGGGAGTTCGCTTTGGTCCACCCTGTATATATATATGTGTGTGTGTGTGTGTGTGTGTGTGTGTGCAGTATGGGAAATTATTATGGAAACGGTGAAGTAAAATGGTATAAAAGACAAATACTACAGGAATAACACCACTTTATCGTAATGAAATTAGTTACATTAGAATACATTATCGTCAAACCAATTAAAAAGTGTAACTCTAGTGTAAAGTGTATAAAAATACAGTCAGTCATACTATTCCCAATAATAGTGGTGTGTTCCAGTCACGGCTACTAGGACTGAAATACTGCATACCAAATGTACATGTCAGGGTTTCGGCTGCTCAGAGATACTCCATGCAAAAATTGCAACAAGCCTCCATGTTACAGTAGGAGCAAGATGTGAAAAGGTCACCCGAAACTGGCACTGCTTGTAATAGACGTGGTCGAGGTAGAAAATCGGAATTGTCCAAAGTTGATTTTAAGTACCTCAAGATATGCTTTTTACGAGGTAGATGACGTTTGAACATAGATCATGCCTTGCTGTAAAGACAGGTATAAATGTTACCTTGAGAACAGTAAGATACAAATATTAACGCATTCCACTGATGAAAACAGGTAACCAAATCAAAACGTTGAAATGAGTATTAGACCAAAAACAGTAGAATGAGCAAAGCTGGAAATATGTACTCGTTATGGATGATTACAACTTTGAATTGTTAAATAAAAAGTAATATCAGAGAGGAAAACAGTATCATAGTTAATGTACGACAGCTACGGTGAAGCATGAACGGATATTTATACAAGTTTGACGTTGCATCTCAACCAACGATGTCGTTATCTATATCATAATGATGGCACCATGACTGGTGACATGTCCAAGCATATTTTATCCCACAGCAACACGGGTAATTTGGTGGGGATTCATCTTCTGGCAAAAAAAGATCCCAATGTATAAGAAGTGGGGTGAAACAATATCTTATGCATAGCTTGAAACGATCAAAAGTCGACTAAACAAACCATTATTCGGTTAGGAAACCCAGGAGTTAATGGTCGGTGCTGTTGATTAGCTGCCTTCCCTCTACTCTATCAGTTTAAAATTAGTGACGGCTAGCACATATAACCTTGTTTATATTTGCGCGTATATCAAACGCGCTAAGTTATATTGTACGCGGACAGCAATGGTCACACAGATAGTATCATCCTCCCCAACCCCCTCCCTCTGTAGTTTTTTTTTTTCAACGGATTCAGCCTTCCAAGAACATTTATTGAACTGTCTAAAAGCCACGACAGAATACGACGGTATTTTGTTATAGTGCGGGGGGTCATTTTGGCATCTGAAGGTATGTGAAGGAACAGTCGCTATTGGTTCATACGTCACTGTTCTAGATCAAGGTCTTCTACCTGTTTACTCCAGTGAACAAGTTACTAAAAAGGAAGTATTTTCAGGTAAGATATGGTTCCTGCTCATTCAGCCTGAGTCACCAAAAGATAGCTTGAAGGTTATGGAACTACCACTCTTCCGTGGCCAAGCCAATCTCCGGATATGAACCCCATAGAGCATGTTTATGCTCCTTACATGATTGTTCCCTGTGTCCCAAACAACCCACTTCACTGTTTACTCCAGTGAACAAGTTACTAAAAAGGAAGTATTTTCAGGTGAGATATGGTTCCTGCTCATTCAGCCTGAGTCACCAAAAGATAGCTTGAAGGTTATGGAACTACCACTCTTCCGTGGCCAAGCCAATCTCCGGATATGAACCCCATAGAGCATGTTTATGCTCCATACTTGATTGTTCCCTGTGCCCCAAACAACCCACTTCTGGAGATATACGAGTTCTTCGCCACGAAAGGGCGCAATCCCACAAGCTCAAACTTCAAATCCTGTAATTACGACACGTAGAAGCGTTTCTGTCTTAAATATTGCAAAAAAACTGATCCTCTAAACACTTATGGTAATTGCGTACCCTTTGTTTCATGTTTGTTTATTTACTAAAATGACATTCTTTCTAGATTTATGTTTATTGGTAGGTTGTGCACATGTCAATTAAAAGAAAAGAAAAATGGCCATGTGATATTATACAAGATCGAAATGACGTGAAGATACTAACTTGATATAAATTTGATGATTTTTTTAGAGACAACATCCATAGAGTAATTAAACTATTCAGAGAGGTACAAGAAACATGTCAGCTCGAAAAATAGCTAAAGAAATTTTGTAAGACTGTGAAAGTACCAATCATATGATCAGAATAATCCTTTCTCGGCAGGCAAAATCCCTTCTCCCACAGGCCAATCGTATCAAGTCATCAGAAGCTCGTATTACTCAAACTCACCTACAACTGTTTCTCAATCTGGCATCACTGATTTCGCGTAATAACACCAGACTGGAAGAGGCTGACGCGGTAAGTGTTTTAACTTAAAATTTCAGTCTGGCGTATTTGATTTCACACAACAACTCCAGATCGGAAAAACTGATGTTGCTTTTTATAAACAGAAATACACAGATAGATAAATATGCACCTGTGTGTGCGTTTGTAGAATCATTTAATAACTAACTTGTGGTAGAGAACCAAAGTTGCTCTAAAACATGAAAATACAAACTTTAATATATAAAAAATACAAACAATTCTATTGTTGTATCTAGAGAATCTTAAATGACAATTTGTGTATTGTAAATGTTTTATTGATTGTAATAAAAAGCTGTTGAAATAATATATTTGACAATGTTGTTAGATTTTATATTTATAATAACTTTGTTTCCGATAGATGCAAGATTTTAGATGGTTTTAGGATATAACATATTCTATTTATTAAAAAATCTTACTCTGATAAACCCAAGAAAGGACACCTAAAAATATCCTTGGCTGAAGACAACTGCAACAGAAACTGATCCGCATCGGTTTCTTGATAATCATTCGCCATTCCTGTTATCATATAATTCGATGTTTCCAATACAGGAGATTAAATTCCGCTTGTACAGAAATGAAAACCCCGCCATCAAATTAAACAAATTCTTAAAAATATCATTAATTTCGTCAAAACTTTCGATGGTCAAGAAAATAATCATTATTTCTGGACTTTATTCGTTTTCTCTTTTCATTTCAGTAGGCCCGGCATGGCCAGGTGGTTAGGGCGCTTGTCTCGCAATCTGAGGGTTGCGGGTTCGAATCCCCGTCGCACCAAACATGCTCGCCCTCTCAGCCGTGGGGGCGTTATAATGTGACGGTCAATCCCACTATTCGTTGGTAAAAGAGTTACCCAAGAGTTGGCGGTGGGTGGTGATGACTAGCTGCCTAACACTGTCTTGAACTGCCGAACTTAGGGACGGCTAGCGGAGACAGCCCTGAGTTAGCTTTGCGCGAAATTCAAAACAAACAAACAATCATTTCAGTAATGTTTCCTATGAAAGATTATAAAGTTTTCAACCCACTTCTAGAACTCAGAGTTAATTTAATGCTTTTATTCACTGAAACATTGTGCATATTTATCATATATCATTTGTATTACATTTGTTTTCAGCTGTACCAAGAAGCTATCAAACTGAGATCCGATTACACCAGAGCTTACCTAAATCGGGGAGATTTCTTAATGAAAATTAACAGGTAGGTATTTTGTATTATATATAAATGTGTGTGTGAGAGAGCAGAAAACTAAACGGTTCTTCAGCCTTCCATAGTTAATAAATGTGGAATATTTTAATTACGATCTTTCCTTCACCCCTCGAAATCATATTTATAGTTGAGACGTATTGATATACAAAAGACACGATAACATGCTTCTGATAATTAATAATATAGTTTCTTTGTGCCTATGATGATATATATATTTATTGCACAGACGTAATTTAGGAATTATTGAAACTGTATTATCGAGAAGATTCATGAATGGTTGAGTAACATCCATTAGTTGCTTCTTTTGTTCATAATGTCAACAAAGTTAGTTGCTGATATGATTGCAGGTTATTGCAATTAAACCATATATTATAGATACGCTGGTTACTCGAACATGATAGAAAACGTTGACTAGTATATCTTTAACGTTATAGCTAATTGCGTGTATTCGTGTAACATAAACATATTTCGTTTCTTGGCTAAAATCCGATTAAGACTAATTTCTATACCTGTCCAATAGAACGGATATAAGGTTAAATACTTATAAGATCATATAATCTGATCTTTAACGTTTGATTTATTGTTACTGTTTCCCATGATCAGCTACCGATATACAGAAAACTGCAGTTGATATAATTTTACACTATTTTGAAAACTAATTACTTTCATAAATCTGACCTTATCAGATTTTCAGAGGAACAAACACAAAATTAGTATACAAGTTTTATTTATGTTTATAAGTCTATATTTAACTTACATTAAGTCTTTTTGGTTCTCGCTAATGCTGTTTCTTTTCTTCTGTAGATTTATATAAAAGTTTTTTCAATATTTTGGTTGTGATTAAATAAATGGTCGAAAATCTTGGTATAAATCTGGCACATTTTGAATGCCTTACTTAGCTGCAAATTACATATTTACAAGTTCATTCCGTTAATTAAGCTTTATGTTAAATTACGTACCACAAGAAGACTTACTAGGCTTAGCTTAAGCCTCTAATCTATCTAGTAACTTCTAAAGAATCGTTTTTTAACTAATTTTATTATGCAATGAATATTAATCATTATCATTTTATTTTAGTGGGTAAACAAACAATGCCGTGTAAATTAATAAAAATAAAGTTTAGGTCCACTCTTAGGAAACTAAAAGTTTACATGGACACAAGTTTTGACACTTTCTTGTGTCAAACAAAAGTTGAAATGAGGAGAACACAGGAAAGTGTTGAAACTTGTGTTCATATAAATTTGCAGTTCCCTAATAGTGGACCTAAACTTTATTTTGGATTACCTTATTTATTAATTATTAATCGTAACAAACACTTTTCTTCCATCTGAAGATGTTTTATAGCCAACATCGTAATTCCATTAACACTACCATTCCCTTCGTAACATTGAACACAATAGTTTAGGCAGTAAAAATTATTGGAAGAAGGACAATAAAAGAACAGGTAATAATATCTACTGTACAAAATATATTCACTTTTCATGTAACTCTAGCTTTTCATTATACTCACCAAGGAATTATTATTGCTTAACTTTGACACAGTAGTTTAATCCGTGATATTGGTACAACGTACTTCTTTGTATACAGTACCGACGGACATAAGAGTGTATAGATTTATGAGCTAAATAAATACATTTATACATAGTCTGAAACGAACATGTTAATTTATCTTTTAAACCGCGTTTCTACGTAAGAATTTCAACAAAATTGCCCTCTTTGACTTCATGATACGTAATCCTAGTTCTTGATGCCAAAGACTGATAATGTGCACTATATTTCAGGAATATCTGCTTATTTACAACTAATTTTGTTTATGATGGGTAAATATTACTTACGTATTATTATAAAACTGATTAGTTATCGTTTGGCTTATATGAGTCAAAATAACAGTCTTGCCTTTCATGATTTCCAGAGCTGAAAGTGCCCGTTTTTGTTTTAGTCAACTGGGCGATAATACATATGTTTTGTTCCTTCGTGGATCGTAGTTTTAGGTGTTGCTTTCATTTACATAAAATCAAGGGCATAGTCAATTTGCTTATCCCTTCACAACAATGAATTTTATAAACGATTATATGACCTGGTGGTTAAGGCGCTCGACTCACAATCTGAAGGTTAGAGGTTTGAATCTCCTTCGCTGAATATACTCGCCCTTTCAGCCGTGGAAGCGTTATAATGTGACGGTCAGTCCTAATATTAGTTGGTACAAGAGTTGGTGGTGGGTAGAATTGACTAGTTACCTTCCCTCTAGTCTATTACTGCTGAATTAAGGCCGGCCAGAGCGAATGGCCCTCATATAGCTTTTCGCTTAATGCAAGACAAACCTATAAACGATGACGCATGTAAGAACGATGTCGACAAACCATTGTTCTACTATCATTTTATCTGATAGAGCTGATTTGTTTGTGTGTCCACCGCGGGAAATCGAACGTCGGATTTTAGCGCTGTAAGTCCGTAACTTTACCACTGACCTAGTGAGGGACAGTTGATAGAGATTTAGCCATCTTACGTGTCGTCATTCCCGCCATCCTGGATTTCATGTGGGAGCTGCGTGTCTTGGTAAGTTTTTAAAGTTTGTTATGAAGCAGTAGTACGTTCTTATGATGAAAGTTATATTGAGAGAGTTTGATGGTGATGAGAACATGAAACGTTTAAAAGTAGTTGATAAATGTTATTTGTTAATAACTATTAATTTTGAACGGCCTACAGTGGCTAGCGATAAGCTTGAGAATTTGTGATGCTAGAATTCGTGTGTTCGACTTCCGACGGAGGGCACAGCGCAGATAGATAGTCCACTGTGCAATCTGTGCAAAAGAAATTGACATTTGATAACCTTAAACCTATTACTGTTCAGCCAGTTTTGCTTGTTGTGTTCATCCGTCATTTTGAAATTAGTTTCATACATAGTGATCTGATATTTGTACTTAATGTCATTCTAAGAAACATTAGACATTACGTTACTATGGATACAATTTAACCCAAGGAAAGGTTACAATAAAAGTTTGAGAGTAGAACTTAGAATATTTATATAATTTTACGATAAGCCATCCTTAGATAATCCATAAATACATGGTAACTCAGTTAATTAGGAGAATCATAAAAATAACTCACTTTAAAAAAATATTTTAGCTAAAATTCAGTTAATCTATGTATTTGAAGTTCCATAATTTTGAGAAGAGTTTTTGCCATAAAAGAGATAAGAAGTTCCAATTTATAGATCAGTGCAGTTCAGAAGTTTGCTATAAAGTCATGGAGCATATTATTTTTGACTTAAGCAAAATCTAAATTTTAATGGCCATTTAACATTTTTAGATAATTGAAAGCAACATTAGCTATAGGACTTAAATTGAAATCACTAAAGACCAGTTCTGTTTAAACATC